TAAACTTTTTAGTCTTCGATTGTTGTGGAAACCTTTGGGTCTATTTGTTTCTTTCGTTAAATCATTACTCCGTGCTGTCTCTTCAGTTGCCCCCCCTGAAGAGAAATTGAAACTGAAATTTTGCTATCTTTTTCTAAACAGATCAGAATTCCCTCATCTTGTGAGCCAGGGCAGTTGGGGAACCAAAAACACTCATGTAAAAGCAGCCCCCAGTTGCATCATTAGGGAGACAGAAATCTGTGGAGGGCAGACCTGCTGAGTATTCTCATTTGTCCTATCCTGCCATTACTCAGTCATCTGTTGAAGGCAAAAGAGATACAATGAGCATGCATTCAGGTAAAGTACTACAGGCTGTTCATCTTTACCTATCAAGAATAGTTGTGTTCATCCTTCGTGTTATTATTCTTTTCCAGAGGCCATGGAGTTCCAAGCTTGGTGTGAGAGTGAATGTGTTAAGACTTGTCAGGGCGAACGGTATCGATGTTCATCTTTCTTCTTTTTCCTTGACACTTATTTGCTAGAATTTTGATTTTCATCAAACTACATTTTAAGCAACACGGTAACAAGCATCTATTGCAGCTCAATAAATATGCGTTTAACAGATTTTACTCTTCCCACTCCAAAGATTACACTATCTTACAGGCATGTATTTAACAAGTACTACAGGCTTAGTAGCATGGCTTCTCTGCCAGACGGCTCAAATTCCATGTATAGAATAGAATTTAACTAGCTTTCTCCATTTGGCTCTGACCCATGGTTCAATACAAATCCAGTTCATTTATCTGAAAGTAGACTTGACCTTTGTTATGTTCTATAAGTTTCATCTCATGCAATGACAATTCCTTGTGATAGATACAAGTTTCTTGGAATACTGCTTGAAGCAATCCAGATCAGAGGCTGAGATGCTTCTGATAGAGAATCTTGGATCATTTGATCCTGACCACGAGTTCATGGACAAATTCCTCAACTGCAAAGACATGTTAGGAGCAGATGTTCTTGAAATATCCTTCCAAAGTCAGAATGACTGGAAGACCAGTGGGACCAGTGCCAAAGATGTGACTTATGACAATGCAGGTGTTGGATATTACAGCCGCCAAGATGGATCCTCAAAGGGCGGAGGCAAGAAGAAAGGGGAAAAAGGGAAGGTTAGCCCTTCTGTTTTAGGATTTAATGTTGTCAGTAACCGGATCATGATAGGTGAGATTCAGACAGCGGAGGATTAAGAATTTTGAATGGTAGCTGTAAATACATTTGACTACAGTTGTTGTTAATGTTTTACATTACGATTTTGTTTTTCTAGAGTGATCAACAACAGCAGTAGTAATTTGATCTGCTCAAGCAATTTTGCGGTCTGAAATTCCTGTAATAGAGTTACTGTTAATTTTCTCAGGAAAAAAAAAACGGATTTATCATAAACCATGAAGGCAACCTGTTGGTCTTTCATTCATGTTGTCCAAGATAATATAGCAATGAATTTTCAGTCTTGAGATATACGGACAGAGGTTTAGGTGGGAAATTTTACACTGAAGCTGGTGGCTTCATTTGTAACATATGTAATTAGGTTGGTTATGCGAATCTGGAATTCTTCAATTTAGCAGTTAAATTGCTTATACTTGCTTTGCTCCCCACTTTTTATGCATGGAGGAGGGGTAACGTTAATTTAGTTCGGATTTCATGCTCTCACCAGTGAGGATAGAAGTAACTTGTTTTTATGTGTTTTTTGTTTTTCAAATATAAAAATTCATTCTACAACTGTTTATTTTATTTATTTTGAAGATGTCTTGCTGTGTACTGATAAAATCCTTCGGGTCCCATGTCTGTCTTGGCTTCGGGTGATGTTTTGTGGTAGAGCCAAAAAACATTTTAATAAAAATATAAATTATAAATATTTAATATTATATATTATATAGACATATATTTTATATAGAGAAATCAATTTGAAATTTATTTATTAACTCATATCAAGTAAAATTAATTTTAAAATAAAAAAATATATTATAATTATTTTTTTCAAGTTTTTATATTTTAAAATTAGTTAACGATGACTTCATTATTAATTTTATTAAAGATATTCTTTCTCAATATATATAATGAATCTTTTATTTATCTATTTCTAAATTTTGTAGGGACTAGTAAAATTATTAGCAACAATTCTTTGTTAATTTATTGTTTTACACAAGTAGGTTAAATATAAATATAAATATATTTTTTTATTGTATCCATAATTTTTTTAGTTGTTTAGTACTTTATTTGTAATCACTAATATGTTAATCACCATTATTTTTCATATAAAATTCATAACAAAATACATATTATTTCATCAAAATTTATTTCAATTTATATTCATATACATATAATATTATACATAAACATATTAATTTAACAAACCCATAAATTATCATATTATTAAGGAACAAAATTAAAATTAAACAATGAAATAAATAGAAAAAATAAATGAAACTCATCTAAAATATTAAGTATAAAGCATAAAAGGTTACTTACTTAATCAATTAATAGTTTAAATTATAGAAGAAAAAGATGTAGAAATAATAATTCAAAAAAAAATACTTATTAAATTATTATATTAAAATTTTAATGAAATTTATTTATTAACTCATATCAAGTAAAATTAATTTTAAAATAAAAAAATATATTATAATTATTTTTTTCAAGTTTTTTCACTGGTCATACTATTTTGCAATGCTTAAGATCAAATGGTTTTGGCATTACAAGGAGCTAAATAAATAGAAATCTCTTCCATATTCTTAACATATGGTTAAAGTTTTTACATTTCAAAATAAATCAAACATAATTTTTAATTAGACTGTTAATTAACCAAACTAAAATTTTAATAGAAAATTTTGAAGGCCTTGTTGAGTTAAAATATTAGAAATCAATAAGTCATTCAAATAAGACTCACAAGTTATCATGCAAGATTATTTTTATTTTTCTTATTATACTTGGATTTGTTTTTCCATTTAGCTTAAGATTTTTAATTTAATTAAAATTATACTATTTAAGAATCCTAATACTAGATAGATTCTATTAATTATATAAATTTTAATTACGAACCATTTATCATTAAAGATTTAAAACTAATATAAATAGAAGTGTCTAGTTTATTTTGTAAAGAACATTATTATTAAGACTTTTAATAAAACACAAATTTTTCTAAATTTCTTTACATTCTAGGTCTGTAATTTTTAGGCTTGAGAACTCTAGCTATTTACTATATTATATGTGGCATTAATTGGTATCAGAGTAGGTTGATCTTTTTGATAGGCAAAGACAGTAGCAACCCACTTTGTGATGAGTGCAGGATTTCTGGGACGTTGTGCAAGCTCAGGAGCAAAAACTAGATTATTTAAAGCAAACAATAGTAGATTTAGCTTGACTAATGGGTATCGCAAATAGGGATCATGAAGAAGAGAGTAACTTGCTAAAAAGTAGGACTTATCGTAGACAAATTTTGTTATGGTGCTAAAGAATGATGATTTGAATTTCTAGATCATAGAACTCGTACCAATGTATGTTTAATTTTATCTTAATAAGATTTAAGACAATCATTAATTTTAGAGTTTATAAAAAATGATTATGAAGAGATTTTATATTGGATGAATAATTTAATAAATTATTATTATTTGCTTTATGTTCAACATTCTCAAAAGACAAGGAAAAACATAGAGGAGTTTGGTGAAAGCAAAATTTCAAAGTTATCTAATTATGTTAAAGAAAACATGATTAAAAAGGTTGCCAACAAACAATTTCAATCATTTGATCTTAAATTCGAGAAGCTAGTGGGAAACAATGTTTTTTTAGTCATGGATGAAAATCTTACAAATAAAGACATGGTAATTTCTAACAATTCTGCTAAAAATATTTTAAAAGATTACCTTGAAATTTCTTTATATTTAAAGGTTGAAGTGTTAGAAGGCATAGATGATGATGAAGTCAAGGGCGGGAAAAAAAAAAAAAGAATGTGCAAAGGAATTACAAGTGGACTTCATAGGAATAAAAAATTAACATTAAATATAGAGTTTTCTTTAGCATGCAGACATATAAATTAAAATTTAAATTTTACTTGTCAAAGATATGCTACTTCGTGAAAATGTTAGCTATAATATTATATTAGAAATATTTATTTACTTGAAGTGGAAGAGTTCAATTCTTGACAAATACCTCGAGAGCGAGTTTTTTAGAAGTAGAGGGAAGTGATATGGGAAAATTCTTCCATATTCTTGTCATAATAATATTTATTGCACTATTTCATTAAGATTAAGATTTTTAGGTTTTGAAAAGTTTAATAAGAATCTAAGATGTAACTTGATAAACTAAACATAATTTTTAATACAACAATTAGATAGTTAAAAGTTTGATAAGGATTTTGAAGACCCTGTTTCATAGAGTTAAAATTTTATAATGATCAGAAATCAAGAAAACACTCAAATAAAGTTCGGAAATTATTGTACGAGATTGTTTTAATTTTCTATGTTGTATTTAGATTCTTTTTTTTATTTAGCCTAAGATTTTTAATTTAATTAGTATTTTACTATTTATAAATTTTAATTTCAGATGAGTTCTATTAATTATATAAGTTTTAATTATGAATAATTTTTTATAAAGAATTCTAGTTTTAATTAGGAATCATTTCTCATAAAGAATATTAATACTAATATAAATAAATAAAAGTGCCTAGTTTATTTTGAGAAGAATATTATTATTAAGACTTTCAATAAAATATCAAAAACATTTCTGTAAATTTCTCTACCGTTTAATACATAATCTTAGGGTTTAGAGAACCCTAGCTTTCAAGCTAGGCACGTCAAAACCAAGCTTCCAACTATTAATGTACTATGGCCAGGTTTTGTAAGGAATTGTAGGCTTGTGTTTCGTTCCTGACAAAATTAAGGGACAAGGCAATTCCGGGTTGCATAAAACTCCATATTTCCTCCACTGAAACTAAAAATAATGTAGATTTCTAGACCAAGTAAACCTCAGCATTTCAGCATCGATGAAAGTATCATGAAATTTTATTTCATGGTTTTGTTACAGCACGACAAAAAAAGTTACAGCACGACAAAAAAAAGAAGCTAAATAACGTATAGTAATTTACACACGTACTTAAAATATACGTACAGCTTTTACTTTCATAAGGAAATTTATCCTATTGAGCAGTTCAGCTTTGCATTCTTGATGAGAAAGGTCATTTGGGAAGATTGATGGAGGACGAGAGAGGAGGAGCAGGAGCTTGCAAGCTAGTAACAACTGATCTCTTTCAATCTGACTGTAGATGAAAAATGATATTTACTTTTGTCATCTGCCAAGCTTCAAGCAGGCCGAAAGAAGTTTCAGCGATCGCAAGAGAAAAATACCGTTGGCTAGACTTCCTCAGTACTTTCCGTTCCTGACTTGAGATTTTTCTCCTTCGGCTAGCATTCCAACAAAAAACAAACACGAAACGATTGGAACATCATGCTGTCTAAGACATTAATTGTCTAAATAAAGAAGTCTGAAGTGCAAGGGTTTGAGTTTGAGTTGTAATCTATGAACCTTTTCAGGTCCTGTTGTGCTTTGTTGTGGCTATTAATGTGCTGTGTTGCAAGATTAAGCATGATATTATACACATTGTATGGGATACAGATCTATTCCGAAATAATCGAGCTAGATTGTTAAGAGGAATTCCCCAGCCACGAATTAAGCCGAGAATAAGAGTTTCGTGAAGCCTAAACACATTACAAGTCGAAACATTTAGTGGCCTCTATTATGTTTGCATTTGTAGGGTTCCAAGGTTAACAAATTTATTCGTATTAATGTAGTTAGCTAGGACAAAAAATCATCCATTTTGTTCTCTTCACATATAAGTTACACTTATTGGCTTGGAAGGTAGGAACAAACATATATCAAACAAGTACGAGGATAAAAATTTGGCATGTCTCAACGGAAGGTGCACAAGTTTACACAGCATATTAGAAAATCTCTGGTACAAATTCAAAATAAGACATGGTATAATTAAATGATTAAAAAAAAACATTGCATCCCATTCTACCATAAGAAACAAACGACAGAAACTCAGAAATGACAACATAATTTGAGGCTAAAAATGATAGTTCCCACTCCTTAGTGCTTACAACTCCACCGAAAGATTTGTATTTGAAAGGGATAACGCAAATTATCCTAGAGTTATTAATCACAAGAAAAAATAATTTCCAATCAAAAGTACTTCAGTTAATTTAGATTTTTGCCAATTACATCAGGATAAACCAGATGTCATATGCTTCTTGAATCTTAATTAATTAGGAAAACATTAACAAAAAACAAAATATATATATATTTCGAAAAGCAATGGCCATGGAATCCCCTTTCCAGCACTAAAAGCAACAGCCAAAAACTAATGACATCAAAAGCAAGTTAAGCCAAAGAAACACACCCTCCAATAATATAATCTGATCAATTATGAAGCAGCAAGTAGCAACAAGGAATTGCTTACCGTTGTAGATTGAACAGGAAAAGGGTCATCAAGATTGATGGTGGAGCTAATAGAAAGCTTGGCAATCTCAGAAACAGCAGCATCTCGAACAGCAGTCACATCACTTGCTAAAGCCTCATAAGCAGCTTGAAAAGCCCGTTCCCAAAATCGAGGCAATCTTGTACCCCTATTGCTATGCTTGTACACGTCCCACATGCGCCACACCAGTTTCTTCTTCTCCTCCACCACCTGTTATACATGTTCAGTAATCAACCCCATAGAACAAATCAAATGCTAAATCTTTTGTTGTTTGTATTTTCAAAGAAAGAGACATGAAATCAATGAACAAGATCACATACGAGAATGTCGACATCATCTTGAGTTTGGAAGCCGAGGTTGTCAGGGTGTTGTGAGAGGTCACCAGTGGACCATTTGAGAGTAATAGAGCCAGTGAACATGGACCAGAAAGCAAGGAGGAGGATTGCAGATAAGACCCAGAATTTGTAACGAGTCTTACATAGTAGACTAGATTCTGAGGTTTCTCTCTTTAGTACTGTTGTGGTGATGGTGGTTGGGGTGGAGGTGGAGGTGGAGGTGACTGTTGAAGGTATTGTGATGACTGTCGGTGCATCATCTTCGTTCATTTTCTGTGTAGTTTAGTTCACAAGCACTGTTACGCTTGGGAGGGAACTGGTGAAGTGGAGAGAATTATTTAGGTGATGTTCTTGGTAGTAGGTGGCCAGTCACAAGTGGTGTTAAATGTGAGGGGGAATTCGGCCTCGCGTTCAGACAGCAACTTCCCACCCAGTGGATCCCACAGTGATTAATTATGTTTTGATTTTTGGTGTAGAAAAATATTAGAAAAATAACACTATTGAAATATAACTTATTATCGAGAATAGCCAAGGAGAATAACAATCATTTTAAAATTCATGTTTTATTCAAATAACTTAATTTTTACAAAAATCAACTCCAGTTTTATAAAAATCAACCCACAGAAAAAATGAATGGAAGCATAGCAAGACTTAGTTTTCAATATATCCAATATCAATATCAAAATGAATGGAAGCATAACTGATTAAGATTTTTTTCAGGATTAAAAAAATCTCAAATAATTTTAACTATATATTAAAATATAATCAAATAAAGTTATAACTGATTAAGATTTTTTTCAGGATTAATTACGGTCTTAATTGATAGTTTGAGATATTATAATTATTTAGTCAAGATCTATCTATCTGTAACGTATGTGTAAAAAACATGGCTGTAATATATTTCTAGTGATACATTCTTATTTTCTTTTTTATATATTTTTATTTCTCATGCCACTTTTTTATTGGTCATTAAAATTTTAATCTATCTGCTTAGAATCTTCCTAAGATTTTGAGGTATTTTTATGATTTTAAGGTATTTTGGTTCAAGTTAATTAATTTCCATAAAATATACATTTTGATTTTAACTAAATAACTCATGACAGTTGTATAAGAAACTGATATTAAAAAACATTAGTGTTTAAATTATATAATTTTCTAAATATTTTTCATCTTATGTCATTTTTTTAAAAAAAATTTAGTAAACCATGTTATTTTTCAAAAAAAATATATATATTCTAGTGTACTGTTGCTCCAACGGCATTTCAGAGAGATAGAAGTTTTATGAAGACTTGACTATTTCTCCACCTGGATTAGGCGTTTGTTGACAAACCGTGCTCCTCAATAATTTTTTTATTAATAATTAATAATTCCGCTGATGAAATAACTAAATCAAATAAAATATTTAAATAACAAATGTTAACAAAAACTCATTAAAACTTTCTAAAGAGAACTGTTCGATGGGATTTATTTTGCATTTCATGAATACCGTCGAGCTTAGAATGGGAAAACATGTTATGCTACCAGTTTCTATTTATTTATTTATTTATGTGCAACCCTGTTCCACGACAGACGAAGTTTATCATGTGATGATCTGGCTCCCCTTCCATGCCCTGCTAACTACCAACTACTAATGCTAATTAACTACTGATTATGGGCCGTAGGATCTTCTTATCTAACGACCCCGCTCTTGATTGATTGAAAGTGGTATGTATATAGGCAAAGAAATCACCTCGTGGCGTGGCCCCTGTGCTCTCCACTTTTTATTCGTGTATATAATTTTAATATTTGCTACAAATTACAGTAAAAATAAAATCTATAAATTAAAGGATTTGTAAACTCTATGATGTTAATATTACCATATTAAAAATAAAAGGATTCTACAGTAAGATTTTGATAGGTTTAATTTTACAATACTAAAATATTAATACGAGATAAAAATTTTATTTTTTTAGTTTTTTCGAGAGATTTTAATTATTTACATTACAAAATATAAGAATTTAAATAAAAAACTACTTTTCTTTCAGATTATTTATAGCATTTACTTATACTTTGTTCAACATATAATCAAACAAACTTTATTTAATAAAATGACAAAATACATCTTTTTTATTCGAAGTTTTTTTTTTAAATTCTTGAACATTGAATTTAATAGGTATTATTACACTTTATAACATGTTTTAATTTATTTTAACACCTTTCTTTTTTCACAATAACATTATTTATATATTAGATTAATAGAAAATTAAATTTTATATCCTTTTCATTTAATTTAATTGAGAATTTAATTTATTTTATTTTTGTAAAATTAAGTTTTGCAGGTTGATTCCAATTTTTTATTTAATTTTACCTAAGATGAATTGAACTAAAGATGAAATGAACAAAAAATATGGGTTTAGCAGAAGTGATCAAATGGAGATTTGCAGGCCAGAGGAAAATAAATAAAGCCGGAAAACATATTATCGGCTCAGAAGATTGCATGTAAAATCATAGACAATTTTCATAAGTCCAGACATAAATTAAGCAACTTCATCACTGCAGGAGAATAAAAAGCAGCATCAACCATTAAAAATCTCTCTACCAACAAAAACGTGAAGAGGTAAATCGGAGGAAATTCTGATATATTGCAAATCAAGATAAAAGTAGAACAAACAAGAAAACAATTGCAAATAATCTCAGAGGAAATTCTGCAGACAATCAACACAGCATCAGATTCAGACCGCCCGTCTGCTTTTTCTCATCATCGAACATTTAATCACACTACTTGTACATAATTGAAAAAAAGACCCAGTTCTAATAAAGATTGACAAAGGCATCAGATAATAAGCGGAGTTTTAGGTCCACATTTAATTCAGTGTGTAGGATAAGAATTTTTTTCCATCATTTGCCTTCATCACTGTTTCTAAACCAAAAAATAATCATAAAAAAGATAAGTAATCGAAGAAAGTATTGGCATCAGATAATAAGCGGAGTTTATGGTCAGCACAACAAATCATTCAGAGTGTAGGATAAAAATGTTACTCATCAATTGCCAAAATTGTTTTTAAAAAAAAAACAGCAGAAAAAATCAAACAAATTGATAAAAATATAGGTAGGTCCATTTGACACCAAGGCAAGATAATATTATGCAATGGGCTGGTAAGCCAACCTTACTGGCTCTTTGCGTCCGTTTTATCTTCTCCAGCTTTCAATTTTTTGCTACCCGAGAAGTGGGTAAACAGACGCGACAAATTCTAATCGATCTTACACTATCGAAAACAATCAATCCAGAAATTATAAAAAAACAAAAAAAGCATTGAAGCTGCAGAGAGAGACTAGAAAAGAAGGAAGAGAGATGATGAACGAACCGAGTAGTGGCAACGGCGAGGGATGTTGAGGTGGCTGCTGCGTTTAAATAGGGGTTTTACATGAATTAGGGTTTTGTATAAGGACGCCTCTTTTTATTGGACTGCGGAAGGAGAGGGATTGGGCCCATTATTAGACTAGGTGGTCATTGTAAGTGTTAGATTAGACCCGAATATGTGAGTCTCAAGTGCTTTTAAACACGGCCCATGTATAAAATTATTATTGCATTCTCCTGTGTTGGTTTTTTTTTTTTTTTTTTTTTTGTAGATATAACTTTGAAATTAAATAGAATAGCTAAAATTCCTCCCACTGATTCAAAATCAACCACCCACAGCGGCATATCCTCCCTCATCTTTCCCCAGAAAGGCTATGAATCATAGCCCTCAATCAAATGGAATGCATACAGTCCTCTCCTTGTTGTCTTGCAAGTGTAGAAATAAACTTCAAGAACACAGGTAATAATAATTTGCATTCATGGGAACTGAATAGACATATCGAAAAGGAGTGCTTCGTCTCATAGGTACTATGTTAGGAGATCCACAAACACCAGTTTTCATTCATCAAAAGTATAAAATTAAGACTACAAAATTTCACAAATTAGCTATAATTGTCACTTAATTGCAAAGTTTAGAATACATAATTTGAAGCAGCCACTATCAAAATTGTTCAAAAATGTATGCACAGTCAATGGAAGCCAACAAAGTAGTCAGTCAATGGAAGCAAGCAGTTTTCATTTACTGTTTACTGCGACTCGGTGTGGGTTCAATACAGGAGAATATCACACTATCTCTCCATTTCAAATTAATCTATCATAAATGGATAAGGGGTGGGCAACAGTTGTGCTGACGACCACGGAGAAGAGAACGGTAGATGATGTGGTTCTATTTTTAGGTTTAGTGGGCTGGGTTTCGGTTTCATGTCTTCTTCTTTTTCTTGTTTTATTTTACACTTTTTTTTTTGTTAAAATTTGAAGAGTTAAATTACTATGTATTTGTTGAGAGATAGTTTTTTTTAAGTAGTTTTCTTGAAGAATAAATTTTTAAAAAATAAATTATTTTTTGATGTTTAGTAGTATTATAAAAAATAAATTAAAAAATATTTTTCAATATTTGGCTATGTCATTAATACAATTTATTTTATTAAAATAATAAGAAAAAATATTATAAATTAGTTGGAAAATAAATTGTAAATATTTTTTATTAAAATAATAAGAAAAAATATTATAAATTAAAAAATTAAATGACAATAAAATTCAAAAAATTATAATTTCATAAATTATCTAAACTAAAATAAATAAAAATCAAAATAATAGAGATCAAATCTAACAAATAAAAAAGTTGAAAGATAATGAAACTAAAAAAATTATAATTTTATAAATTATTTTAAATAAAATAAATATCAATAAAAAGAATTATGATCAAATATGATAGATAAAAAAATTCAATTAAGAAAATAATAAGAGAAAAACAAATAATAATTATAAAAATAAAGACCAAAGTTAATATAAAAATCATATTCTAAGGGATAAAATTAAAAAAAATTCAAAACAAAATATATAACAATTTAAAGTTTTGAGGACCAAATTTGATATAATAAGCAAATTACATGAAATTTCTAAATTTTTCATAACTTCTTGAAAGTGTTTTTCGTCCAAAATAAAAAGATAACACTTTTCTGGAAACCAAGTCAAATTTTTCTTTGACTGAAAAGTGTTTTTCATTAACCAACTTTTCTAATGACATACAAACGCAGGAAAATTTATGACATGACCAAAAGATTGATGTCTTCTCCCAAGTGCAGGAGTATCGAAGTAATAAATAACTTAGCAAAACCAGGGTCGAACCACATGGAGGTTAATTGTATAAACTATAGATAACAATAATATAATAATAACAATAACAATAAGAACAACAATAATAAAAAAGAAGAAGAAGAAGAAGAAGAAGTTGATGAGAGAACTTTGAGATGAAAGATTAACGTAAGAATTAAACAATGATAACAATAAATGTCAAGGTTAGAGGATCCACTAATGGTATGTCAA